TTTCCAAAATTCTAAACCTCAGAATACCGTTAGATAAAAATTAATGTAGTTTCATATGTGAAAATTTCTTACTGAATCGGCCTGTTATTGAGACACTTAACTGAGATCTGTTCAATTTGTAGGTTACAATCGTGACACCATGCTGCAAATTGATTAAAATCAAAAACGTACTTACTGATGCCTGTTACTCCTCGTGGAAGAGCATAGGCCGCTCACCAGCATTCTCCGTCCAACCCTGTCCTGGACAATCCTCTCCACCTCCTTCCACTTGTTATTCATCCTTTTCATATCTGATTCTATTTCACGACGTAAAGTGTTCTTTGGCCTTCCACTTTTCAGTTTCCCTTCAGGATTCCAAGTTGGGCTTTCCTTGTGATGCAGTTTGGTGATTTCCGTAATACATATCCTTTCCATAGTCTTTTCACGATTTCCTCCTCAGCTGGAAGCTGGTTTGTTCTCTCCCATAGAAGGCTGTTGCTGATAGTATCCGGCCAATGGATGTTGAGTATCTTGCGTAGACATCTATTTATAAATACTTTTACCTTCTTGATGATGGCTGTTATAGTTCTCCACGTTTCAGCTCCGTACAGTACAACTGTCTTGATGTTGGTATTGAAGATTCTGACTTTGATATTGGTTGACAGTTGTTTTGAGTTCCATATGTTCTTCAATTGTAAGAATGTGGCCCTTGCTTTGCCAATCCTCGCCTTTACGTCTGCATCTGAACCTCCTTGTTCATCGATGATGCTTCCCAGGTATGTGAAGGATTCTACATCTTCCAGAGTTTCGCCATCAAGAGTGATTGGATTGCTGTTCTTGGAATGCATCTGTCAGCTGTCCTCCATGAACGACTTTGCACTATAGTCTGTCATATGTGTTCCGGATGATGTTGACAATCTTCTCAGGAACTCCATAGTGTCGTAGAAGTTTCCATAATGTTCTCTTATCTGCACTGTCAAACGACTTTTCATAATCAATGAAGTTGATGTATAGTGACGAGTTCTACTCAACTGATTGTTCGACAATGATCCATAGTGTCGCAGTCTGGTCTGTGCACGACCGATCCATACCAGATCCAGCCTGTTGATCTCGAAGTTTCGCGTCTACTGAGTCTTTCATCCGGTTCAGCAGCACTATGTTAAAGACTTTCCTTGGTACTGACAGTAGTGTAATGCCTCTGTAGTTTTCACATTTGCTCAGATATCCTTTCTTTGAAATCTTGATGTGTCCTTCTTTCCAGTCCATCGGCACTTGTTCCTTTTTGAATAGAAGCATGTTTGTAGTCACTTCGATGTCTGACTTCAGTGCTTCAGCTGGTATATTGTCAATGATATGAATGTTAAGCACTTACTTCTAGATCTAAATGTCCTAAGTTCAATTATTAGAAAAATTATGACTACCCACTACTAAGAAGTTATGTAATAGAACAAAACATATTGAAAGTTCCTTAATATTAATTCATGACGTATACCAGCTGTGAATTAAACTATGTTAAATATAAATATATAGATTAAAGTTTCAATACACACAAAAATTCTTAAATCTCCCCCTCCTCCAGGAAAGATGTATACACCTCTAATCATTGTATAAAAACTTAAATTTTGATTGGTTTACATTTAAACATATTTAATTGAATACACTTTGTTCACATGTCCATCTTATTTAAAACAAGAGGAATTTTATTGAAAAAAACAACAATCATTACATTGTGTTCTATTATTATTATTATTATTACATTTACTATCTAATTTTCTTTATATTTTCTCTTTCCAATCTTTATACTTGTCTCCCTACTTCATTCTTGTCTTATTTTTCTTATCTCTTTATTTTATTCTTCTATTCTTTTCTTTTTCTTTATTGAAACTTTTCATCCAATCATTTTTCAGATAATTTTTTTTCAATATTTTATTTTTTGACCAATAAGATTATTTCAAATCTGATTAACTAGCGATCAGATTGAAAAGAATAATATTCATATTCATATTCTTATTACTAGTATTATTATGAATAGTATAATGTGTGCATGTATGTGTATGTGCATGTGTGTGTGTAAGAGAGAGAGGTGGGGAGTGATAAAGAGACGAGAGGGAGAGTTAATATATTACTAAGTATAACAATGAAATTTCTTAATTTCTTTTTAAAACGGTTTCGATTTTATTAAAAGTAAATCATTCACTGGAAATAAGATAAATGATCTGAATTCTCAAATATTATTTCTGTGATCTATAAACATAAGATTCAATATCTATAGCGTAATACAAATAAAAGGTATGTTAAACATTATTCGACTATAATTTACTTAATCATAATAATATTATTATGCAATTATGAATGAATACTGGTAGTGTAGATAACTTTAGTGAAAATTGTTGATAATTTTTCATATGTGAGTAGATTAATTTATCACTAGCTAGCAAATACTACACCCATCTGACGAGCCCCAAATAGGACGAAACATGCGTCAAATTGGATTCCACTACTAGCTACTATCCATCTTTGCTTATAATGCTTGTAAATTAAGGCAATATGAAGGAAATACATACAGTATGCATATATGCCAATAATAAGAGACTGATCAATTACAGTCGTAAACATCAGTGGGAAGTTTCAAGTGAACTAATACAATGAGTTGAATGAATCCGATATTTCATTTATATACTATAGTAGATATTACTTCAAGTGATTTGATTTTGATTTAGTTTCAAGTGTTTGCCAATGATTTAAAAGAAGTCTTCGATCTAAGTTTAGTATTATCTATTACTTGTTACTGTAACAGTTTCACAAAACTGTAAGATATGATGGTCCTATTAATGTGAGATTAAGGACCCTTCTTATAATTATGACATTATGATTAAACTGTTCAGGCTGTGAATAATCTTTTATACGACTGAGATATTTACATTGATCAATCATAGATTACTTCAATTACTTATTTTTGAGTAAAGTAAGTATCTAACCGGAAACTTTCATTACCATTATTTAACTGATGTTTACTCAATTTAGTATAGTCAGTTACATTGATCTATAATGTATACTAAGACTAATAGATCAGCTCTGAGCAATATTTTAAAAAAAGATGAAAGTTTTAAAGTATTATCAGTCAATTAACAGATAATTTGTAAAATTCAAAAGTATTCTGTTAAACATGTAAACAGACTTGTATAATTATAAGCAAAGATAAACAGTAGCTAGCAGCGAAATCCAGGACACGTGTTTGAAGCGAACGACACTAGGTTTGAGTCCCAGAACATCATGTCTGAGATCCAGGTACAGCCAGCTGACGAGTCCCGGATAGAACGAAACACACGTCAGACTGAATTCCACTACTAGCCACTATCCGTCTTTGCTTATAACGCTTGTGACGCACGGTATGCACTTACTTCAACAACAGACTTATCAATTGCAATCACAAACATCAATGGGAACATTCAAATAAAACAATACCAAATGAATTTAAACTTCTATAATCAGTTTAAAATTCTTCTTACCAATTTTGTTGATTTAAATATTGAAGGGGTTTTTTCTCTCTTTTTGAATGAAACTTTATTCTAATTTTTAATGAATGCGAATATGTTTCTTACTCAATGATTTCATAGTAAACTTAACATCCCTTACAAAATTATTCGTAACAAGTTGATTGTATAGTGATTTGAAATGGTATTATGAGATAATTAGTATAAGGATGATGATCTAACACTTTCCATTACTGTACAAAATGATCGTTAGATCAATAATAAAGTAATTTTTTAATGAAGATAATGAATCGATCTAAATTAAATAAAACTATTCTAGATGAAGAAATTCTAATTGTCTAACATAAGTCAATTTTTTATCTCAAAACCTCAATGATGAACGTAGAATAGGTAGGATGTACATTTGGCTCATCAGTTGCAAGTATTTTTAGTACAACTATCTCATAATATGATGAATGATAAAGGCTAAGGTTATCTGGAATGTTCAACCAGCGTATCTTATCTAGCGGTTTCAGTCATTTTTTCATTGATCTAATGAACAAGTACTGCATAATGGGGTGGAATTTTCATTGAAAATATTGTTTAAAACATCTGAAGTGATCGGCATTTATCTAATGTAGACACTTCCAGTATAACACACCTCAACATCTTAACTGTAAAACACAAATATGGTGAAATTTTTGTGTTTAAAATGAAATCTCTAACGAAAATTACTCTTTAATACCCTATGCTTACCCATTAAATGAATGGAAAAATAGGCAAAAGTGCATGGTAAAACCCATTTGTTTAACATTAACAATATAGTGGATAATGTTAATAAAAAAAACTTAAGCTGTGTACGATCTTCCATCGAAGTCATTCAAGGAAATTATTCAATTTTTTATTTTCTTCATGATGAAAAATGTAATTTTCCAAATTACTGTTATGATTTAACTCACTAAAAAGAAAAAAAGTTAGTTATTATAGAGAGATTTGTGGGGTTTGTAGAATTCTCAAGATTTCAATTATGAACTGATTTTAACTGAACTACTGTTAAAACGCAAAAAATACTGAAGGACTCTTTCGCCATGATACAAGACTCCTCAGAAGTCTGTTAGTTAACCATTGCAGATTATGAAAAATGGCTGCGTATTATGTGATCTGATTGAATTTAAACATGTACACCATTGGATTCGTTCTACACGTAAAATATTTGCGTAAAAAACCCAAGGTCATAGGTCCGGTCCTATGTAGTTAGATTGTGGATGCATACTGTTGAGAAGTTTCATACTAGAACAAAATAGTTATCAAATGCTTCCTTATTTTCTAGCTAAGATCAGTTTACGATCAAAAAATATATAAATAAATAAATAGGAATGAAATTACTATAGTTAAAGTTGATAAACATTTGAATTTCGTGAAACTCAAAGGTTACAACCCCAAATTTTATGATAAAGCTACAGTAAATAAATGAACAATTAATCATGGTGTATTTTGAAATTTTCCAGTTTTTCCTGTGAATTATACTGTCCAATTTCATATCAGAAAATGAAGAATATTGAAAAGTATTCTGAAAACTGTAGAGAACTACCTACAAGTTCATCTTACATAAACTTGATTGAATCATCTACCAATACAACCTTACCATCGTCATTACTTACTTCATCACCATTATCATCGTCATCATCTCAACAATTACCTAGTACATCACAATCAATATTCAATTTAGATTATACTTCAACGGCTTATAAAGAATGGTTACAAATTATGAAACATTTACATCATATTGATCATTTAAAACAAATTAATGATAATAAAAATAATATTCAAATGGACTTACAATCTTCATGTTCACCATTTACATCGTTCAATAAAACTATCAATGATTTAACAAGAAGTAAAAACATTGAACTATTGAACAATAAATATGACCCATTGGATTCAAATAATTTAATATCACAGTATTATTACTATTATTATTACAATTATTATTATGGTTTACAAAAATCGCATAAATTTCTTCAGTCACGACAACATCAACCTGATGATCATAATTATAACACTAATAATGAAGTATATAAGTCTGATGGAACTACTGAGACATCATTATGTGTAGATAAACAAGACAATTCATTGAAACATTTAACGCCACCATGTTGTTCAACTTCACCACCAATTTTAACAAAATCTATTGTTAAAAATTCACATTTATTTTCTTCTTCAAAATATCCACCAATTTTATTTGAAGGTAAGTTGAAATATTCCCTTATTATTCAGTCGACTGATTATGTGAGATTTGTTATATGGGAAATTAAGCAATCAAACAAACATGACATTGGTTAGTATGTACTGATCAGTAAAGGTTAATATGTTCAGTGATGACTAAGAAATAGGAATATCAGTTTCTGTAAGATTGTAGGTTTATCTAGTTGACGAGTGTCAACTAGCAAGAAAGTTTGGTTAGGTAGGGTTACATACCACCTACCTCGGATCATATGACATCTGAATATCGTACATTGTGTCAAGATACTTAAGTAATGGCCAAGTTGTTACTTGATTGACAAATGTTGGTCAGGACTAAAGGACTAGATAAACATGACACTCGTCAATAATCATATATCAATCAATTTACAATCTAGAGGCGCTGATGTTTTTCCGAGTTTCATACTCTTCAACATAACTCATCTATCTCTCAACTAAGTATGCTTTGAATGACCATTGCTTTATATCATCAGTTAATTAAATTTAGGAATTCGAATTGTGGTACTAAGTCAGTCATTTCAAAGTTATGAAAGTCTCGGGTTTAATTCTTGACATATTTGCAGGTAAAAACTCCTGGGAAATTGTTATAAACTTGATTATCACAACTATCCATTATTTTTCCAGTTTTCTCGATAGCTAGTTAACCAACGTTGACTTCTGACAAAAGTTATGTCATAAGGTATAATCTGGTGTTATATAAAGTATGATCAACTAGATAAAGTTCGATGTAACTTTTATGAATGTTCCTCCCCCCCCAATTTATCAACTAAGAAACTGTATTTCATTACAACTGATGTTATCTTTTGCGAGATTGAGAATTTGCTAGAAAATTGGACTTCTAACGTCTATGGAGAATAAATATTAGTAAAAATGATAATCTTATGGAATATATCAAATGTTTAGTGTGGTATAGAATTCTAGTGATAAGAAATCAGTAGAGGGATGAAGTCTGGGAATTAACAATCATTGATTTTGTTGTTTGTAACATGATCAATCTCATAGTACTCATAAATTCATTCTGCATAATAATTTATAAATAATTAGGAATGTATTCTATCTTGTGTTCATTATAAAATAAATCTGCATCGGAAGTTTCGCATTACAGACTGACTTTCGTCAAAGAACCGCTACAAACCAAGATAGTTTGGGTACAACAACACCCCACTAGGAATATAAGGCAGGTCTCACAACCCTACGGCAACTCCCTGACCCTTATACGATTGAGCTTGTAAACGAGAGTTGCTGGGAGGTCTCATGCTCAGAGACAATATTTGTCTAGTATTTCCTAGTTTTCAATGGTTATCTAAGGTTTGCTTGTGACCTAACCTATGGGAGATATATCAAATGAGAAAATAATTATTATCTAGTTACGTTTCACTAAACAACACTGTATTGTTTCAGTTTGAAAAAAACTCAGCAGTATGTGTTCAGGACCACCGCGAATTGGATAGAACCCAATACCTTCAAGTCATCTAGAACGCTTGATACAATCTTGTCAGAAAGTTGAAACTTAAAAGTCTAAGAACACATAAGATCATTCACTATCTTTGCAATCAACCACTAAAGTCAAACAATATAATTTTTCGCTTCAAAAACTTTTCATTTTTAAATATAGTCCACATTGATGATGAATAAGGTGTTAGTTGAAGGTATTCGACAGGAAAGCATGAACCTACGTTTCGTAATATTTAACACTCGTCAGAAAGATATCTCCTTAATCTTGAAGGAATTGATATTTCATGGCGGATTCAAGCTCGTATCGCCCAACTGTACAGTCTGATCTCCTGAGGGAATGAGAGGTATTTACAGTTGACTGATCATTGAATAGTGACCAATGTCAAGTACTATTTTGGTGCTGATCGAATTCTATCGACTCTGTCGCAATATAGTTACCAAACACTACTCAGTATTTAATTAATTATAAACACTGATAATATATTTATGATAAAAGCTATTTGTAAATGAATTTAATATAATTCAATGACTTCAAAGTATTCTATTAATTTGTATTCAGATTACACCATTTTAATTTGATAGGAGTAATTGTATAGTTAGAACTTAAGAGATGGTTTTTGTTTGCATATTAAATTGACTCAACTGTATGAAAACTGTATGTAATCACACAAATTACCCATAACAGAAAACATAGAATAATTCAGAAAGATAATTGTACAACCATCTAGTGATGATACATTGTAAAATGTCTAGGTATTTATAAAATAAATGTAAAGTATATACTTGAGAGTGCCCTGGTACGGCCGAGAGTAGAAATAGTCAGCTCTCCCTCTCGAAATGCCCTCACATGGTCACGTGCATACAACCACTTTCAGGGAAGTCCTACTCACTGCCTTCTAGTGGCATTACCGTTGTTTGCGAAATCAAGAAGACGAAAAACGTATGTCCAGCGCTTAAACCGGGTTGGTGAAAACCGACAGTCCATTTAGAGGAGTTGGTAAACCCTCATTCCAAACCGATCGTGTACATGGGGTCCAGGATCCTGAGGAACAAATGGAGTATGAGCCAATTATTGGTCACCGGTTACTATGAAACCGCATCTCCTGACGTTGTTCCACCACCTTGTTCATCAGACGCCAGACCGAAGGCTCCGAGTGTGGCCTCCCAAGAAGACCGCCTACCTAGGTTTGGGTACCCGGACAGTATCTCAGACCTCATACAAATCGTATGATTTATGCAGTCCATATCTATTTAGTGCCTCATTGTACCAATGTTTATGTGTTTGAACAAAAATAAATAAATAAATAAACAGTTAGTAACGATGAAAGTTTAGTGACATTCGATTCAATTTTCACAGCTGATCTAAAAAATCTAAAAACAATGATTCAAAAACTATTTAGTAACTGATTTGACTGGAATTATTTCGGTGAAATATTGTTACTTACTTATACCTGTCACTCCCAATGGAGCAGAGGCCGCCGACCAGCATTCTCCAACCCACTCTGTCCTGGGCTTTCCTTTCCAATTCCGTCCAATTTGTGTTCATTTTTCTCATGTTTGTCTCCATTTCTCGGCATAATGTGTTCTTTGGTCTTCCTCTTTTCCTCTTACACCTTCTAAATCTTCTCTGCCAAGTGTGATTCGATTGTTGCATGCTGTGTTATATCGAAGAGTCTTGCTTTTCCCTTTGTGTATGTTGAGATCTACTGATGCTGAGGCTGCCGCCACACTGGTCGTCTTCTTCTGCATTTGTTGTTGCGTATGTGATAGAAGAGCCAGATCATCCGCGAAGTCTAGGTCGTCCGTGAAATATTGTATTCCTAAAAAAATTCTCATTCACACTGATACTTAAATCTTATTTTGAAAAAAATTCTGTTTAAGAAAAAAACGTTGAAATTTAGTAAGAAAGATTTCATGAGAACGATGGAAAATATCGAAGTTCTTACTTTTGAATAATCTGTTGTAATGGCTAATATTGTCCTTCAAACAATTATCTTGTATAAGGTAAAGTAATGGAATCCAAGTATTTATTATTATTATTGGCTTTATTCAATATTATATTTTTGGTACAATATAGAATTCTCAGCACGAAGTATTTCAACAAGTTTCCTTTTCTTATTTCTTGATCGATCCTTGCAATAAATATTAAGTGGTCACCACTTAGATGTTAGCAGTTCAGGACTCGACATCTGAATAATGTATATTCTTTTCGATGAATATAGCTAGCAACCACGATGTCTCTGATTGGACTCTTTTGTAACTTGTACTGCGAAATATCGCAAAATTTTCACGAACGCACCCAAATAGATTATGAGACTAATAAGTATAATGATTTATTAAGACATACAAGAAAACAGATAACTTGTTGAAATAACCGGATGGCAGGAACAGGTAGTCCAGATATTCAAGCAGGCGGCCTTGTGGAACTCACTAGCTGAATGTGCTTGCTACACAACAGAACTTGAATTTAGTACTTTTCGCATCAAATGTCAGCATATTATTAACTGAGCTACCTCACTGACATGATAAAAATAATGTTGACATTCAATCTTTTATATACAACTATATTAAATCATCATTTTTTGTCCCCTTCATAATTTTTTTCTTTAGGAGATATTCATCATGGTTCATTCTCATCTGAAAACTAAGAAGCATAGGATAGCTGTCTCGTCCTTAATATAGGACTCCTTAGCAATACTCATACAACGGCCCTAATGGTGATCGAAACCAGTATATGTAAACATCCATCTTCAAACATTTAGGACGGAATCCACTTTTTACTTATATAATAATTATTTCAATGGTTAAGATCATGAGTCAGTTGAAGCTAGACCACCATGGAAAACCTGGAAGCACTGGACAGCCGTTTCGTCCTATTGTGGGACTCCTCAGCAGTGCGCATCCATGACCTCGCCCCCTGCGAGATTCAAACCCAGGAGTCCCACAACAGGACGAAACAGCCGTCCAGTGCTTCCAGGTTTTCCAGGGTGGTCTAGCTTCAACTGACTCATGATCTTAACCATTGAAATTACTATAATATTCACAAAACCCGTCTGATATTAATAATTATTTGTTAAGTTGTTTTTCATTTATCATATATTTAAGCTGAATTTTTCTTTTGTTTCAAATAGGTCAAGGACGAGTAAATCAGTTAGGCGGTATGTTTATTAATGGTAGACCATTACCATATGAGACGCGTTTGAAAATTGTTGAATTATCTAATAATGGTATACGTCCATGTGATATATCACGTCAATTAAAAGTATCACATGGCTGTGTCAGTAAGATTTTACAACGTTATAGTGAAACAGGTAAATGAAAAACATGTTTTAAATAATAAAAAATATGTGGAGATTGTTTACATAATAGATTGATTTTAACTAAGATGCTTGGAAGTTCTCTGTTTTTATCCCTAGTGTTCAGAAGACTTGTAATAAGATTAAACAACTGTTCAATACTTTCTCGTTTACATGTTTGTAGAGCTGTAGTCACTACGAAATGTTAAGCATTTTCTAAATGAACAACTTTCATAAGTCTATCATCCTAAAAATATATATTTGCTTATTCTATGTTATGATAATTTATCGAAATAACCACAGTAATGTAAGATAACGCAATTAGTTTTCAGTATCGATTAGATTTACATTTTCACTTATCCCTTAAATAGTGAATAGGAGAGTAATGTTAGGTACTGATTTCGTCCTATTCGGAACTAGTCCGTTGAATGTACTTAATACTTCCTTATGTTAATGTTTTCTGCTTCGGTCTGGGCTCTCAATCACTATTCCAGTTCCCACACAAATCGGATAATTTGTGTGGTGCATATGTATTTGATGCCTCCTTGTACTAATGTTTGTGTTTAAATAAATAAATGAAGTACCCATTTAAATTCAGTAATGATCTCTTCTAAGTAACCAGATAATATTAATATAATAATGAAGTAACAATATGTCAAATTCGATAAAAGGATGGTTAACATTAAATCTAGATTGTACTTTTTTGGAGTTACATGTCATACTGTTGAATTTGACAATGAACAAAAAAGACTAACACCAATCTATTCAAAAATCCGTAGACAAGTTGAATGGATCATTTTTTTATTGATTTCAAACAGTTAACACTTATGAAGTTCATGAAAAATCCTTAAAATAAATTTATACGAAAGATAACAATCCATATAATTCATCATAGCAAAGAAGTCATTCTTAATAGATTTCACGATATCTTTACCGTTATATAAGGCCCCACTGTATAATTTAAGTGGTTTATTAGTATGTGAATATTTCAGTCGTATAGGAACTCAGTTATTGTTTAACGAGCCCGGTGATAACATGTTTGTTTATAACATGAAGTGATGTTTGTCCAAATCTTATAGGGGAGCATGAATTTACTCAAGATATTCAATGTTTGACAAATGTCAAAATTCATTTCCTGATCAGTATATCACGAAATTCGTTTATTTCTTAAGAATTACATCTTTTAAATTACTGTATTCAGTAAAATTGTCATCGGAAAGAAGAATAATACGCAAAGATGTACAAAACCATTCTGGAAAGAAAAGATCTAGAATTAAAATACAATACTCTGTGATGTATAAAATAACTGTTGTCATATTGTACTCTTTACACGATTGAAATTTTGTGGCATAAAACAAAAAAGATAATGATTATTTGATTCTTCATATTAAATTTGACGTACTCATTTAAAAGAATAAGATTGAAGTTCATTCCATTATATGAATTAATGTCGACAACGACACCATTAAACAAATATTTTGTTCTTGTTTAGGATTCTATATAAACTTTTGGAGAAAAATAGTAAAATATCACGATTTTATGTTAAGTACGATATCATCATCATCATCATCATCATCATCATCATCATCATCATCATCATCATCATCATCATCATCATCATCATCATCATCATCATCATCATCATCATCATCATCATCATCATCATCATCATCATCATCATCATCATCATCATCATCATCATCATCATCATCATCATCATCATCATCATCATCATCATCATCATCATCATCATCATCATCATCATCATCATCATCATCATCATCATCATCATCATCATCATCATCATCATCATCATCATCATCATCATCATCATCATCATCATCATCATCATCATCATCATCATCATCATCATCATCATCATCATCATCATCATCATCATCATCATCATCATCATCATCATCATCATCATCATCATCATCATCATCATCATCATCATCATCATCATCATCATCATCATCATCATCATCATCATCATCATCATCATCATCATCATCATCATCATCATCATCATCATCATCATCATCATCATCATCATCATCATCATCATCATCATCATCATCATCCTCAGCAGCAGCAGCAGCAGCAGCAGCATCGATAACGTCTTCATCATACTTTTAATTCATGTCATATTGTTATGTTTTGATAAATTCTCATCGGGCAAAGCCGCAATCAGATTAGGAAATTAATGTTTACCTTCAATTCGATTCGTAGTGTACTGTGTTATATTATTATGACTGTTTTCATTTTTCAACGATGCGTATAGTCATCACTGAGTAATTGTTTAGTCTTAATTTAAGTCTAATCGTCAATCCACAACCATTATCCTATTAATGAGATCAAACTTATTACCTTCAGGTCTTTTTTAAATACAATGTGATTTATATTTCCAAATATAATCACTTTGGGAATATATAACCTGACATTCATTCAGTCTCATTGTTCACATCTGTCTTATTCTTAGTACGGTTGGATTCCGCCAATTATTTTAAGAAAAATAAGACTAATCTAGAATAGATCATAATAAGAATAGTAGTTAAGACGATTTAATAATAACTCTTTGTCCAGTGTGATTTCTTAGCTTTTAGCCTAATAATTCTATGATGATTTACTCTTCGCCTCTTATTATCTCTAAAATTTAATGCTGAAATTAGTATCTTGTAGAATATTCATTAAGTTCATCTGTACTTTATTATTTGAAAAGTTTCATTTAAATTCACTTGGTATTGTTTACTTAAATGTTCCCATTGAGGTTCACGAATGCAAGTGATCAGTCTCTTGTTAGTATAAGTGTGTACTGTGCCTACTACCTCAATATTGCCTTAATTTACAAACATTATAAGCAAAGATGGATAATGACTAGCAGTGGAAACCAGTTTGACGCGCGTTTCGTCCTAGAGTTTCAGAGTGAACATCATCTCTGAGATGCAGGTAGATCCATCTGACGAGTCCTAAATAGGACGAAACTCACGTCATACTGGATTCCACTACTAGCTACTATTCATTTTCGCTTATAAGGTTTCATTCAGTTTACTAATAAATCTTATATTTGAACTTCTATAACTCATTAAGGTAGAGTTATAAATTAGTTTAGGTAAAGAAAACTTAAGGTTTCTTTTTCTATTATTCTTTTCACTATCTTCTAATTATACAATCAATTTGTCTTTATTAACATTATGAAATTAGAAATAATGAATTAACACAAGTCATGTTTTAAATAAATGCGTCCTTTTGTTTTTTTTAAAACAAGATTCACTTGATTTCATTTGCACATCATCAATGAATGGAACATTAAAATTACATCATTTGAATATATGTATAACTTTATAACTCATACAATCAGTTAGGTTATTTCCATGGCTAATAACATGAAATTTACAATTGCGTAACATAGATTATTATTATTTGTCATAATTAAACGGATACATGAAACATAAAATTGTATTACTTTTTTCTTGATTGATGATAATTCTTATTCAGATAAACTAAAGTTAATCAACCTGATTCTTAACTCAATCAACGATACAATCATCTGTACACATTTTTACAAGTCTATAAATGTGTACATTTATGTGCATAGACGTATGTGTGTGTGTGTGGCTACGTACTAATGAGCCAAAATGTGGTAATTACATCAAATACCTATAATTCAAAAATTAAATGAGTCCGATTTATCATTTACGATACAATTTCAGTTTAATAGATAGAATCAAATTAACATAAACGACTTGATAAACAAGATATTGGTCACTCATTATTCAGTGATCAATTCATGCAAATAACTTGGTCCTACAAAAGATTAACCTTGGTCCTAGTATCAAAACGGTAATGTCTTGAACTGGGAAACTATATGATGTGGGTTAAAATCCTACAAGAGTTATCAGTTTTCTTGAAATTGCAGATTTTTCTTGTTGTCGAACATTAGTATGCACGAAATCTAAGTTTAATAAGGTTCCTGTCGATTGTCTCCAACTATTTAACATCCAAATATAATTCAAATGATGTCGAATCATCTAGACTATTGGTCAGACTACAATTTAATCGACAGAATTCGATGGGTACTAATAACTAGACAAACAAGGCATTGGTAACTAGTTAGTGATTAATCCATGCCGGTGAAATACTTTATTAATATCAGATGGGATTTTGTGGATATGAGTTTTGTTCCCATAATCTGGGCATGGTAATTTTATTGACATGTTTTCACTTTTGTTCTGGATCAAATCATCGGTGTCTACTTAATGTAATTATGTTTAAAAAAATATTTTTTTAATACGGTGGCGTGTAATGATCTCGTTACACTAAAATCAAATAGAATACAATTACTTCGTCTTTCCAGGGTCACTGATAGAATGAGAGATAAACTCTTAAGTGATTCATGTAATAATAAGATCTGTGAAAACTAAAAAAATGACATAAATCCATAGTATTCATCAATTTGCTATGTTGATTCGTAAAACCAAACATATACTGTCTTTTGTGTATCTCAGTATTAAATTTGCTTTCTGTATAATTCTCAGTAAAGTTTTGATGGAGTCGTGGAACGATGAAAACTCCACGACCAAAACATCAAGCACAGAGAACAAAACTCCATCAAAATCATCCACCTGAGCTACAAATCTCATGCAATATATTCTTCAATATAAGATTTTCATGACCGCATTTTATGTATTTACTAAAGAGACTATAAAGAAGGTCAAAAAATGGTTATTGAAATTTAGAGAGCACAACAAATATCTTCACTAATCATCGAAATCAAACTTCGAACCCTCAAATCACATGACAAGGACAATACATTTAAAGAATTGGATCGGAAGCTAATCGATGTTAATTTCTTTCACTTTCGACTTGATTGTCTTCAGTTAGAATTTTGAAGGACATATTTCAGAAATGATTACTTGTGAATACTTGAGTAATTACAACAACAAAAAACACCGACAAAAATGAAATATCATTGTAAATGGTCACTTTTATTTCAATATAAACGAACTAATATCAGGAGTTTTTTGGATATTATAGTAAATTTATTAGTTGAGATTATGAGTCAGTAGAAGCTACACCACCATGGAAAACCTGAAAGCATTAGACGATCGTTTCCTCTTAGTGTTGGAATTCTCAGATGTGCGCATCCACTAACCTACATGCATGACACAAACTCAGGATATTCGATGTCTCGCGCGAACACATAACCTCTAGACCACTGAGCCTGCATCTAACAGTCTTGATGTCTGACTTCAACTAATCCACAGAACTGATCGACATATCCACTACTGTCTTCAGTGAGTTAATATCTCCCCAACCCTAACCCAATAACACCGAAGTCATTTCTCACTAATAAATCAATAAAATTAAATATTTAAAAGATTTGTTAGTATTGGAAGTAATAATGGTGCTCTCTTTGAGAGTTCTTTTGATATAACAAAAAGTACATGTGAAATTAAAATCAATCAAGATCATGTTGATATCTGACAATTGAAAGCAGTCAATAGAAGACATTATTTGATATAAGTTTCATAATAACTGTCACTTACAACTAATGTGTTTCGGTATTTACAAAGAAACTTGTACTTTTAGTGAGAAATATTATCACTAAGCTATTTTAAAAATTAATCTTAACAAGTAGGAAACTTGTAAATGAGTAATAATGCGTGTTATTTCACATTTTCAATCATTTATACCATACAGATAGGTATACATCGGTGACCAGATACATCAATCATGAATGAGGCAGTAAGCCGATGATGATATTTCAAAAAGAACATTCTATTTCACAAAATAGGGGTCACTGTGTTGAAAGTTAGTGACTGAATAATAGTATTGATTTATTTTTATACTGGTTGTTTGAATCTTCCCATTGATGTTTAGGACTACAATGGATCAGTCTCTTTTGGCATATGTGCATCCTGTACAGGTGGCCTCGACATCACCTTAAGTTATAAGCACTATAAGCAAAGAAGTCCCATAGTGAACATCAACTCCACGATGCAGGTATATCCACCCGATGAATCCCAAATAGGACGAAACGTGCGTCCTGCATTCCACTGTCAGTCACCACGCATCCCTGCTTATGAATAATAGTGTGTTCAATGGTAAAAAACTTAAGAATCTACGAGTCAATCCGATGTATTTATTGGTAACTTGATGCTCATAAATCCTAAACTAGGGGGAAAAATTACTACAATGACCAATGGGTTTCGGTTATCTACTGACAGACATCGGTTCCTGATAAGAACTACTTTCAAATTGTATAGAACCATCATTATATTACTTTTATCGTCATAGTTAAAACACTTCAAATATCTTATTTTACATTTTCTATTTTTATCTTATATCCTAATAGGTCCTCAATATAATAGTTCATAAGTGAAGCACATCCTTTCTTTTAACCTTCTTCCCTTTTTAAACTTGACAAATTAACCTTGTCAATCCATAACAGCCCATTTCGTTTTTATTTCTCTTATGTTTAATGAGGTATGAAATAGTGAGACCATTTAATTGAGACAAACATTTTACAGTCGAAATATGTGAGCTAATATATATAAATGTCAGTTTCGTTTCAACCGTTTATTAAAATAAACATATATACCATCGAATTGATTAACCATTAACTGGATCCTCCCATTTTTTCCCCCAAAAAATTATCACATTAAATTACTAGATCAGTAAATTTTTCAAATGTTCACCTGTTAATCAAAGTGTTTACTTAATTTTGATCTCTTAAATGTTTATACATGTACGTGTGTGTGTGTGTGTTTGCGTGTACGTCTGTATACATGACCTTGTCGTTGAAATGCCTAATATAGAAATAAACAAATTCTTTGCATCACAATGTCATCATTAAATGGTAATAAATAATAACTGGAGCAATCAAAACTTTTCCCATATATACCTCTTTATTTATTCATAGATTCTTATTACAGTAAACGTTTACCATGTTGACATACTGCAAACAAAAATTGTGTTAACATTTGCTTCATTCAAAAGTTATCATAATTAGTTATGAAATTAATGTCAACTTAAATGATGTCAGTAAATGCATTCAGTTATACTGAAGATGAGGTGACAAACAAATACGTTTTTTTCAATCTATTCAATGTAGATTATTTGGATTATTATCATTCATATGATAAAGGAATAACTTTTGAAAACTAGAATGTTTTAGATGATTATTTCGTTTTAAATATATATATATATATATATATATATATATATATATATATATATATATATATATATATATATGACTCCAAGGTAGTGTTCATCAATAAGATGTGAATTCAAGAGTTTCAAGTCTAGATGCAAGAAATCAACTTTTCAGAAGGCTGAATTGATATCAAATAGTTTAGTTTTGTAATTTCAGTAATTTCATGAAATTGTCCAACCGTCTGTCCATGCGACTAGTGGATGACTGTCATATAGCTGAAATGATGTGATTACATAATGTATGACCATGAGATTAAATATTATAATGTAAAGTGTATTTTTTCTGGATGCGATTTAAATGTTAATTAAAAATAGATAGTGGCTAGCAGTGGAATCCAGTATGACGTGCGTTTCGTCCTATTTAGGACTCGTCAGATGGATCTACCTGTTCACTCTGAGACTCTAGGAAGAAACGCGCGTCAAACTGGTTTCCACTGCTAGTCATTACCCATCTTTGCTTATAATGCTTGTGAATTAAGGCAATATTGAGGTAGTAGGCACAGTATACACATATACCAACAAGAGACTGATCACTTGCATTCGTGAACCTCAATGGGAACATTCAAGTAAACAATACCAAGTGAATTTAAATGTTAATTGTTTGAAGTCAGTCGGTAAAAAAGTCCTGTTTAACCTAGATTTTGTATTAATCGCAACTTGTCAGCAAATGATACCCATGATCTAAATGGAGAGAGAGAGAGAGAGAGAAAGCTAGTGAGATCAAAAATCGGTAATCTCACAAATCTAGGTTTATGAACTTCAACCAATAGAATCAAGCCACTTAACATCAAAATTTAGGGCACTCTGTTGTTGAGTCTTTTCACAGGTGACAATATATATGATGAGGATCTGATCCATTCTAAGCTACATGAATATTTCTATATTTTAAATACTATTTTTCTTATATCCATAATGAACAGACATGCAATGTTAGTTGATTACATTTGATCAAAACAACTTCAAACACAAGGAATTCAAGGAAGCTGTACATAATTGCAGAGAATTTGAAATAAGAATAAGAAGACAATACCCTATAGAGCATGGTTAGTTGCATAGCTTACAAAGAAGAGTGATATTTTATTGCAGGGAATATGTACCTAAGTTAGTATCATACAAAATGTTTGTTTATTAAGTTCAAATGTTGTATAAATGCCAATAAGAAATACAAATTGAATTATTCATGGAATAATTAAATTCTGAAGTATGTAGAAAATATTTATGTTCAAATGACTGATCTCTTGATCATATACGATTGAATAAACAATCACATTCAACATAGTGTTATCCGACTAGATTTATTTAATTTTGAATTCAATTCAATTAAAATCTACTCGATTAATAACTTGTTCTGTATGAAATCCTATGCAAGACTGTAAATCACATCATAGATAAATTTTTCCTCAAGATGTATATATACTACTTAATATATTTAACAAAGTAGTGACTATACACTTTTCTTTACATTTTAGGCAGTGTAAGTCCAGGTGCAACTGGTGGAGCTAGAAAGTCTAGAAATAATAATCAAAATCATCCTCATCATCATCACCAATCGCGTGATCAACATCTTCGACATACTACCACTACTACATCAACATCATTAATTAATGATAGTAATAATCGTCGTTCACGACACTCAAATCAAACTCACATTAAATTAAATCGTTCAAACAGTAAACAAAATAATAAATCGACAATTTTATTTAAAAAAAGAATGAACAAATCAAAAAAGGGACTGTTTTCAACAAATTTTAATTCAATCCATTATGTAAATCAATTATCAACAAGATCATATAATTATTCAACTGGTAGAAAGAAATTACAAGGTCTAACTTCAGTGAATAAAACATTGTCACATCAATTCGAAATGAGTGGACAGTTAGAACAACAACAACAACAACAAGAGGCTATCGATTTATCAATGCATCACAGATCACAATGTATTCAATCAGAGACTACTACACCTTCATCAATAACATACGAACCAATAACTTCTCATTCAATATCATGTAATTCTTCAATGTTTCATATGATAAACAAATTAACTACTGATAAGACTATATCTACTACTAATACTATTGATACTACTATCAGCACCAATACTATTACAAATGTAAACATTAATCCACAAAAATATTTGAAACATTTGAATACAGATTTATCATTGAAAGAAATTGGACTAGATTTATCTACTTCAGTAAATGATAGAATACCAAATTGTAAGTTCAGTTTAATTAATTAACTCATTCATGTGTGAAATCATTAATATTCTTCCAGCAATAAACATTCGTCAACTGAATTATAGATATTTCTAATGACTATGGTTACATGAAAATAGTAAATAAAATCTTAAAAACAGATTTCAATGAAATACAATTGTACACTGGTTGATGACTAAGTAGCATAAGGGGGTTTATAGAGATTGTTGAGTTTTGTAGTCTATTTTGGTGCTAATTTAATGACACACATTGCGAGATCTGTAGATCCTGAGTCCGACTTCAGTTGAATAGTGGATCAACATTGCCAAGAAGTTTCATACTGAGAATGTACTACTTGGTTTTTAATGGTTATTTAACTAAGATCATTCAATGATCAAAAATATAAAGCTAAATAGTAAGTATTGAAGTGTATTTGTACTTTTCAATTTTATTGAATTTCATGATATTAAGTAACGCGAGTCTCAATCATAATGGGATCATTAGCTGCTTGAACATTGAAGAGGTCCTGATGATGAGTGCTAACTAGTATATAACCTGTACCTAGAAAGGTTTAATGTTAATTAATTTCAACCATCTAACATGTACAATCTGTGTTTGCATGATCATTCCATATGCTTATCAATACACTTAAAGAACAATGAGTTTTATATCAGTGTCTCAAAGATAACATATTAGTTGCTACATACTAAAGTTAATAGATACTAACTTACATAAATCGGACTATGAAATGTTAATGAATTAGAGATTAGAATTCTTATTATTAACTGTCTTCGGTGAACTCATCATAAATCAATGAGACAGTCAAAATCGATATTGTACAATATAGCGAATTAACTCAATTCAGTAAATTTCAATTATATCATTCTTGCTATGAAACTTTGGTGTTATTTGTTTGACTTCTGACAAAATCATATACATGAAATCCTAAAAGAGTTCTAAATAATGACGAGCATAAACGACACTGCTGTTTAATTAGGCATTGAATACACAGACTTTCAAAATTAATCATCTATCACCAAAAGTTAAAAGATGCATATAATTGTTCTATAAAGTTTATGAGTTTTTCAAGATTTTTAATCAGGGTTTTTCATCTTGAAACTGCGTTGTTTCGATCCTTCATCGGATCATAAACTTTTATAAATAATTTCTTATAATTTCCACAATATGTGTGTAATATTAACGGCATAAAATTATGCAACAACGATCTTAGAACTAGATCGTCTTAAGAAACTTGTACTACACAAATATCAGTAATCATATGAATTGACTGAATGCTTATTATTTTTTATTTAAAAAGAAGAAAGAAACAAGCTCTAATCAAATTACATTTCTGGTTGAATATAAATTAGGAAGATTATGGATTATATATAGTTTTTCTTTCATTTTTTCCCTATATAATGGCATAATACACTATTCTCTTCAAATGTCACTTAACCCTTAAATTAGAAAATAAGTCATTAAAACAAGTGATTCAATGTTCCAATATTTACATCTTTAATGATACTAATTATAAATATTCTAATCAAATGTTTACATAAATATGTATGTACGTTACAGGTACACATAAACTGTAAGTATTTGAATCTTCCACCAACAAATGTATCCCTTTTCATTTTTTGAACATATTGGAACTATTGAACAAATTTATGATTATTTTCTTTTGTTTTATAGAAGTTAATAAACTAATTAAACAAAAACTAGATTGGCTTAACCACATCAAAAATACTTTTTTTTTCAAATTCATTATTATATTTTTGGAAAAAGAAAAAAAAAGAAAATAATAATGGTGCATAATGTAGCTCATTTACCAATTGTACAACATTTGTTTTATCTCACTAACATTCATTACTTAAATGGGCTTCCTTTTTTTAAAAATAATGTTTACATTACTGTTCTTTTGAATGAAATTTATTATTCAGTGTGAAAGGATTATCAAAATAAGGTGATTGACTAAACAAGATTGTTTAAGTATTGAATAAAATATATAGTATAGGGATTGCAGAATGCTGGTCGGTGTCCTATGCTCTATTGAAGGTAACAGATGTAATTGTATAACTGTAGTTTAAACATATTCATTTGGAAAATTGAAAAAAAAAATAGTTTCACTGGTTGAGATCATGAATCAGTTGAAACAAGACCACTATGGAAAACCTGGAAGCATTGGACGGCTGTTTCGTCCTATAGTGGAACTCCTCAGCAGTGCGCACCCACAATCCCGCCCCCCCCGCGAGATTCGAACACAGGACTTATCAGTCTCGCACGCGAGCGCTTAACCAGTAGACCATTGAGCCGGCGTCCAACGGTGTTAATATCTAACTTCAACTAATCCACGAAAATAATTGTTTGAGTGAATGAAACATTTCAAATCAAATGATCTAAGAATTTCTATTGAATGTTTTTAGAACATATATATATATGACCATAAATGCCTTTGAAGCAATGAAGCAGTTAACTGAATAAAAATACTTAACAGGGATATCATTTTGTTTGATAAGATTTTGAATCCTTATTGTTTTCAGTGGTTGAGAGATATATCGCTCACATAAAACAATCATCCACCTCAAGATATGCTTAAAAAAAAGACTAACGTTGATTAAACCTAGACATAATATCGGTTCATGAATTCATTGGCTGTTAACTTAAGCCAATACAAACTTCCTGGATGGTATCCGTTAGATATTCAACTAATTAATGGTAAAAATCTATAAGGTAACATAGTTCTATTCTTCTGTGTTTGGAGGTATTGATTCGGAGGACCTGCATAACTTTGGTTTCATGCTTTTCAGCATTTACAACACCAAGTATATCCATAATCATAGAGAAACTAATCCCCTCCCCCCCAGTGGGATTCAAATACATGATGAATAGTATTACAAACAGAAAGACTACAATTTAACACTTCAGTATTGAGTAGCACAACTTATTTAAAAGTTTACTCAATACACTAACAGAAATCTAGTCCAATCTGAATTCATCATTAGTATTTTTTAAAGAAAGAGAAAAAAACGTAAATAATTCCATTGTTTCATTTTTTTTCGTCATTGTTCTAACAGTATACAATGAATTAACACCAATAATAAATCAATTCAAAGTTATATAAACTGAAGACAGTTTATATTTTCATTATTGTGAAACACCTACATGTTTGTGAAGAAATTTGTGAAACCTTTTAGTGACTTTTTATTTTCTTAAAAAAAAAAAGAGAACAACAAATATTGTCAAAAATCGGTGATATACATAGAGATACAACAAACAACAGTAATGATTTAATTTCACTTAAATGGTAGATATGCTTACATACATGTTTGTATAGTGAATATGTTATAAAATAGCATATGGGTGGGTATTTGTCTTAATTGTTATACATAGATAATCTTGTCACGTTAGCATATCGAGTTCCACACATTGTAATATCACATAGCATTAGTATCCATACGTTTGATACACAACTATACACATACAATTGTTTTATGTCGAAATTTATTAAACTTTGAATTAACCAGTTGACAGAATAAAAAACAAAAGACATAGATCATTCCAAAGGAACAGTAGATGTGAAAGTTAATGTATGTTGTAGAATGTAAGACAAAAAACAACAACAACAACATAGATTTGTTTCAATAATAAATAAATTGTAGTATAAGTTGAAATTCGACACAGATGGACACAATAGACCCACACCCCATGTTAACCAATTCGAAACTAATCACAATCTTGGCTAATTTGTAAAATAAAATTTTTTTTTTAGAAAAAAATAGACGCGGATATCTTTCAAAATTTATCAAGTCATATTTAAACGAGTATAACTGACCTAATTTACTACACAAACATTTACAAAATAGATAATAGTAAAGTGATAATATGCATATTTGACCTGCACAATATATTTACATTAAGTGACTATATTTTTGATCATTTTTTATTTGATAATTGATTTTATTATTGTGGGAGATCTTAGTAGATTACCCACTTTGAAATGAAATTCATTCAGCAGTGAATAAAATTAGGTGAATACTTTAAGTAAACTGATAGTTTTTTGTTTTTATATCAATAGATTTATTTTATATGATGAAATGTAACCATTAAATACCAGTGTACTTTTATTTAAAATTTAATGGATTAACAATTTCCAAGATGTGATTTAGGGTGCACTAAAGAAACAGTTGATATCAAGAATGTAGATGAAGAATGTTAATCAATATATTAATAATTAATGACCCAAGTCATGCAGAACAGGCTGTACTAATTAGTGAGTAATGCTGAATGACAAATACATGATTATTTATCTCGTCGAGTAGAAAATGTCTTAAAGTCATTATGCCATATAGTTACCAGTATAGGGGTTGTGGAGATTATTAAGTTTTTGATGAGTTCATGAATCGAGATTGAAGGCCCTGGGTTCGAAGCCCGTGGGCGAGATCGTGGATGCGCACTGCTGAGAGTCCCACAATAGGACAAAACAGTCGTCCAGTGCTTCTAGGTTTCCAACAGTGGTCTAACATCAATCGGTTTATGATCTCAATAAAAATCATTGTATTATTCACGTTCGTTTAAAAATTCCTATGACATTTATAGCAAGTTATATCACATTGTCCAATCATAGGCGTTAACCATATTCTAACAATCAAGTCCCAATATGATCACTAATCTTAACGACTTTACAACAAGTTGTGGTGTGTTCAATCTTAAATCGCTGAGAAAGAGATCATCAAGAAACCCTATTTGACTTGAATTTCGTGCTCATTGGAGCCAATCAACAATGAAAATTTGGTAATAGACTACCTGTTTTTTTAAGTTGTGATCTATCTTGAAGTTTGAAGTAAAGTAGACAGTTAGCAGACTTTGCAAACTAATCGATGTAAAATTAATCAGTACTAATGACTGGATAAAATAATATTAGTTGCTACTTGCTTATCAGTCAGTCGGTAAGTAGACATTTTACTCCTACAATAAAACAATCAAAGCCTGATATATAAATGATGTCCTCCCTGACTGTGACA